TAACAGTTTTGACTCTTGTGCATATCAAACATATATATATATATATATATATGAACCAGAAATCAGAAGTTTATTTACATCAGAGTAAGTTTATAACTTCTGTTCTTCTAATTAATTGTCATAAATTTACATGTAAAAGCAAAATTCAAAAATTTAATAGAAACTTAATATGACAAGTCAAACTGTTGACAGGTTCTAATTGAAAAGGCAGTATATAGTTCTTTTTTTTAAAATTTTCATCTATTAGAATTTAATTAAGTATTTTATAATGTTGAGGTTAACTAAAAATAAGTGTTCGAACTCGTACTGAAAAAACAGTAAAGTATGTTGACAGCATGACTCAGTTATTGCGATGAAAATGATGCAATGTATTCGCTGCTCTTTATATAACCTCGTGAGGAGAAGATGAAGAAAGAATAAAAAAATAATTTTCCTTTCTGTAAACGTTTCATTTGGACTGCATCACAACTATATAATCAAACATACACCTTGACAGAAGTAAGTACGATACTGTTTTTTATTATTAGAAGCTTTATTTTATGAATATCGTTTAACTTAATCATCGTTGATATATCCGATTAAATATTCAAGAATTTTTAATCATTGAAAAAAATTATAAAATCTTATATTTAGAGAGATTAATCCATTGACAATTTTCTGAAATTCAAGCATGACAAAAAATAATATCGGACGTATTATTATTGTTGGAGCAGGTCCAGGTGGATTGACATTGGCACGTATTCTACAACTCAAAGGTTTCGAAGTTAAGATCTATGAACGAGAAAGCCATATTGATGTTCGATCTCAAGGAGGAACCTTAGATCTTCATGTACACTCGGGTCAATATGCTCTTAAAACAGCAGAATTATTTGAAGATTTTCAGGCAGTTTGCCGTCCTGAAGGACAAGATACACGCATTATCGGAAAGTCCGGTACGATTTATTATGAAGAAGTAGTTCCTGACAAAAATTATGATCGACCAGAAATTGATCGACGTGATCTCCGACAAATATTACTGAAGTCATTAAAAAAAGATACTGTTATTCAAGGTCATAATTTACTTGATATTCAATCAATAAGTAACGGTCAACATAAACTGACATTTGATAACGGTGTAACAGACGTTGCTGATTTAGTTATTGGTGCAGATGGTGCATGGTAAGTTCTTACAAGGATAATTATAACAAATACTATAAATGATTATTTCTTGTTAAGGTCACGCGTTCGTCATCTTGTTTCGAAAGAAAAGCCACAATATTGTGGTGCTACGATGATAGAAGCACAATTTACTGAAGTTGATGACCGACATCCTGAAATTTCTAAACTAACTGGACGTGGTACTATGTTTGCTTTATCTGATAACAAAGGTCTTTTTGCTCAACGCAATGGGGGAAATCAAATTCGTGTCTATATCACTTTGCGTGTACCAGAAAATTGGATTATCGAATCGGGAATTGATTTCGATCAGCCACAACAAGTTCGTACTCATCTTCTCGAATTATTTTCAGATTGGGACAATAGTCTGCTCAACTTAATTCAAGTTTGTGATGACAATTTTATTCCACGTCCTCTCTATATGCTACCTATCAATCAAAAATGGGAAACACAGCAAGGTGTTACATTATTAGGTGATGCTGCCCATCTTATGTGTCCGTTTGCCGGTGAAGGTGTTAATTTGGCTATGCTAGATGCGACAGAATTAGCTCTTGCTATTACTAATTCAACTGATTTAACACAATCAATTCACGAATATGAACAGAAAATGTTCTCTCGCGCTGCAGAATCTTCTGAAGAATCTTTAACAAATCTTGATTTATTTATTTCACCAGATGATTCAGCAAAAAAAGTGTGTGAGTGGTTTAAAAAAATGATGGAAGGTGCACTACAAAATAATAATGAAAATTCTGTTACTGCATAGACAAAATTTATAGTTTTATACATCAATATGAACAAATACTAGATTTAGCTTGTCAATCGAAATCATAAACATGTTTCATTATTTCGCATTGTAACTTATATGTTTTTTTTTTATTATAATATAAATAAAATAAATAAGAGAATCATAATAACGATAATTTTACATATGTTTTTATTTACCTTTAATAGTTATAATATAACAAGAAAACGCAGTAGTCAGGAAACTTTATAATTATCTTCAATAAAAATTTGAAAAACTTAGTCATTTTAAATAATTTATATTGATATGTGACAAGGCGGCATCTACGAAATGAGATATCGTTGGTCAGTATTGAATATCATCGATTTGAACAATTTGATTTTAATAGATAGATAGTTGGTAAATGTTATAAAAAAATGAAATCAGAATTGTTGATTGTAGTTTTTCATTTATTGGGATTTGTTCTTTTAATGCAAGGACTTTTTCCTTTTTCATCTTCAACAAATCATATTGCAAATCGATCTTGTTTTGATTCACAAGGTTTGTCAAAAAAACTAAATTTTCTTATTTTCATTTCAATCATATACATATACATTCATTTAGAATCATCTCAAGGACATTTTATAATTGTCTTAATAGATGCACTTCGTGCTGATTATGTTTTTAATAAAAATAGTTCGTATTATTTAAAAAGTATAGAAAAATTCGAAGAAGAAGGAAAAGCTTTATCAATAAAACTACGTACACATAGTCCAACAGTAACATTACCACGATTAAAAGTAATGAATTAACTTCGAAATTTTCTATTTGAATATAATAAAGAAAATTAGTTTAGGCAATCTTAACAGGTACAATTCCATCATTTTGGGATGTTTTATTTAATTATAATTCAAGTCAACTTCAATTAGATAATTTATTATTTCAATATAAAAGAAAATATCCTGAAAAGAAAATTATTTTCTATGGTGATGATACATGGGTGAAATTATTTCCAGATTCTATTTTTCATCGATCTTATGGTCTTCAATCATTTTTTGTTACGGATTTTAAAGAAATTGATTTAAATGTTACTCATGGTCTTTATAATGAATTAAATCAAATGAATGAATGGGATTTTTTAATCGTTCATTATTTAGGTCTTGATCATATTGGTCATGCATTTGGAGCATTTAATTCATTTATTAAAGATAAATTAATTGAAATGGATGAAGTTATTGAAAAAATTGTTTCCAAAATGAATAAAAATGATCTTCTATTAATAACAGGTGATCATGGAATGATTGATCAAGGTGGACATGGTGGTTCATCAGATGCTGAAATTTATGTTCCAGCAATATTTATTTCTCATAAATTAAAAGAAAATATTTCGAAGAAGAAGAAGAATAATGAAGAATATTTTCAAATTGATTTAACACCAACATTAAGTGCATTACTTGAAATAGCAATTCCATATAATAATCTTGGAATATTAATTGAAAATGTTTTAAAACATTTTTATCATTCAGATAAATTAAATTTATTCAAATGTTTAATTGATGATAATCGAAGACAATTATTTAATCTTCTATCAAATACAAAATTATCAACTTCATTAAATGATCTTCACATAATTCGGAATCAAGCAATGTTAATAGCAAATGAACAAGATTTAAGGATGCTTTTATTAAGTATAATCCTCTTTTGGTCTGTAAGTAATTTTTTTTAATATTTTATTCAATTGAAAAAAAATCTTTCCTTTTCAGAGTTTAATTATCTTTTGGTTTAATATTCAAAAAATATCTCTTCTATCGATTATTCTATTGAGTTTAGTTTATTTAATATCGAATAATCTATTTCTTAGTTTGGCTATTGGTGCTATTAGTTTTTGTATAATTGTTATTGGAACAGGTGAAAGAAAGATAGGATATAATAAAATTAATAATGAAGGAAAAACTTTGTCAAGTCAATTATTAATGTGGTATCCATTATTTCATATAATATCATTATTTTCAAGTAGTTTTATTGAAGAAGAACATCAAACTTGGTATTATTTATTATCAACTTATTTATTAATTCGAACAATAGAAGAAAAATCTTTTAAATATTTATTTATGTTAATTTTATCACGTTTAATACGTTCATGGAATCAAACAGGAAATAAATGGTTAAATATTCCAGATATTGGAGATTTTCTCAATAGGTAAGAAAATTTATTTTTAGTTTTAATTCAATTTTCAAGACTGTCTACAGTCATAACATATATTTAACCGTTTCCGGCCGGATGTTGTCAAATGGCAATATTTTACCGTAGGGGGGTACGGCCTTTTTTTTCTAAGATTAATACATTTACGATGATGAAATGTTAATCCACTTTTTTTTTATTTTCTGAATAGGAGTGAAAATGTTGTTTATTTATTTTCAATTCATTTTCTATCATCAATAATATTTCTATATTTATTAAATAAATCTAAACGATCTTCTATAACATATTTATTACCAATAATTGTTTTAATTTATCGATGGAATCTGTTCAAGTTAGTTTTAATGATTTTTAATTTATTAATTTAATTTATTTGAATTTTCTAGTTCATTAACATCAGTAATACCATTATTATATTATGGTTTATTAGGTTATTTAATTGTTCGGAAAGAAATTTCAATAGAAAATCTTCTATTTAGTTTATTATATATTTTATGTCGTCCACATAATTGTTTGATAATAATTATTCATATGATATTTTATCAATTTTTAAATATAAATGATTCTCGTTTAGCATTTATTTTAAGTCAATCAGCATTTTTTCATTTAGTTCGTATTTCGAAAATCTAAATAATTTAAACCTTTTTCTATTTTAAAGGGCAATTCAAATTCATTTGTAACAATTGATATATCAACAGGTTTTGTTGGTATTCCAATCTATCTTCCAATAATTCATGGACTATTAATATATTTATCAACATATGGTTTATCAATAATTTGGTTATTAAAATTATCAAAAGAAGAACGAACTGATTCTTTATTACAATTAACATTAATAAATAGTTCATTTGTTTTCTGTATTTTTCTTCAACGTTATCATTTATTTGTTTGGACTGTATTTGCTCCGAAAGTTTTTTATTTATGTGCGCAAACAGCTTTTAATTTGCTACTATTTCTGTGATCAAATCAAACGTTTTTTTTAAGGATAATTGACAATCACTTCTTTAATATGTACATATATTATGAGTATCTCAAAATAAGTAAATATTCATTCGATCTCCATTGCTAAAGTTCGCTGTTTCCAGATTAGTCTTCGATCAATCAGTGAAGTGTGGACACATAAGCAAGCTAATACTAACGATCAATTAAAAATGTTTGAATATTTTTATATTTGATAAACT